AGGGGCACTGGACTAGCGAGGGTCTGATCCCAGGGAAGCATCCCTGGCTCTGTTTCCATTTGGAGTCCCCAGGAGGAAGCAAAGGAAAGACACAAAGACTCACCCGGACTCCCCACACTGTGGTGGCTTTGTCTGACAACACAGTGATGCTGGGCCCTGTCACTGCCTGTTCCCAAAACGCTCTTGACCTTGGGAGCTCAGCATGATTCCCCAGGCCTCAACACAGTGGCCTTCTGGTCCCAGAATAAAGCAGGCTCCATGACAGCCTGAAAAAAAGGTTTCCCAGAGCACTCCACAGCCACAGGGAAAGTCCCAGGCCTGTGCACCCCTTTTCTCATAAGGTAGGGAGGCCAGGGTCCTGGATGGGTGCCATGACTGGGACTCGGCCTTGGCACCCACACAATGCTCCAGCTTCTGTCCAGGGCACCGGCTGCGCTAGGACCCAGGCTGGACGCACACAGCCGGCAAGGCAACACATGGCTCAGGCGGCAGGGGAACTGGGGTCATTGTGGAGCCACAGACAACCAGAGATAAACCCACTACCCACGAGCTTCCTTATAGACCCTGCATGGGGGGCATGGTGTTAGGTGCAGCCATGAACAAGAGGCAGAGTCAGCACCCAGCCTTGAGCTTGGGGGGATTTCTGCTGATTCTGATTCAAAAAATCGTCTCAGGGCTGTCTGCAGAGAGTGGACATTTTCCTGAAGTAAAGAACAACCCCACTGACTCAGCAATGCCCTCTCCAGGAATCTGCCTTCCAGATGCGCTTGCATGGCAGGACTGTGCATCTCTGCATGCTGACTCAGCAGCCAAAGGCCTGCATACAACTGAAATGCCAACTCGGTAAACCCGGGGGCATGCGTGCTGTGGGACACTAGGCAGCCAAGTGCAGCTCAGGATGGCAATGTGGGTTTGCTGTCACTGAACCCTGCAGGTGGGGAGCACTGACACACAGGCCATCTGCCAAGTCCCTGGAAGCAGATGACAACTGGGACAGAGTGGGGAGAAAGACTTCATTTCACCTTCCAAGCTCCTAGATTACTGAACTGTGTTTATGATAATAAATCTTAAAAGCAAGGATTAAGAAGCAGGTGTTCACTGTCAGGTGTAGCCAGGAACAAGTGGCAGAGCCGGCGACGGGCAGAGGTCCAGGATGGGCCCAAAGGAGCTGCCCTGTGCCCACCTTCTGCCTGCAGCTCCCCCAGGACACCAGCCAGGTGCCAGGCAAGACTGACAGAGCCGCCTCCAGTCCTAGTGCCGGCTGCACATGGGGACCGCCTCTCAGCACCCACCTGTGACCGGGAGGACAGTGGGCAGTCAGGATAGGGAGGGGAGAGGACTGCGCATGACGCCACCCTCACCGACTACCTCACTCCAAATGGCTGCTGTCAACTCCCTGGCAGACTCTCCCTGGACCCTGTCCACTAGGGCCATCACTGGCCCAGGCAACAACTCAGCACCCAAGTCGGTGTGCCTGTGGTGACTGAGGAATTCGGTCTTCAGTTCGGTCAGGTTCTCTGGGGGTGGGGCAGGTTCTTGGAACACAGTTTGGGCAGCTCCTGCACTTGCTACTTGTCAGGCTGGCCTCAAACTCCTATGCACCTCCTGAGAGCCAGGCTCACCAGTAAGCACCGCCATGGATGATTTAAACAGCACCTTCAATGGCTTGCTTACTACTTCCCGGCCACGTTATCACATGTAATGAATAAAGAAGGATTGAAGGCTAACACATCAGGCCCCAACTTCTGCAGCTAAAGTGACCTCAGAACAGCATTAAACAAGAAGCATGTGAAGAAGAAAGGACCTTCTGCCTAGCTCCTGCGACTTCCCTCTCCAGGGCGCTGTCACAGCCTCAAGAGCCAGCACCTTCTTCAAGGCTGACTTTTGAAAGATGAAAGATTACCACAATGCAGAAAAGAGATAAACTAGAAAACGAGATTTCTCACTGTGCGACAGCCTACTTCTGCCCATGGGTGCCCACCCACGGGGCCATGTCACTGCAGGTCGGAAACACAGTACCTTTAAAAGCTGCATCTCTGAACACCACCACCACCGTCACTTCCTAAACCACAGGGCACTCACATTTTGTGCTTGGTGATGGAAATAACCCCAGGAGGATAAGAAGCATGCAGGAGGACTGCACAGGTCATGTGTAAACACAGAAGGAAGCGTTTTACTCTAGGGACTGAACATCCAGATTTTACAACCCACAAGGTCTTGGAATCAGTCCTGAGAGATCTGAAGAGAAGACCTTATTTCCTGAAGTTAGTTTTCACGTCCTTGTCACTTACCTAATGTATTTGACTGCCATGTTGGTACACTGCCTGAAGAATCTGGCATTCTACTTTTTTCAATCAACATTCACACTGCAAGGTCTCTGTGGTCCTTGCTCCCAGCATGGGTGAGCAGAAGGCACGGAGGTCTGTGGCCTAAGGGACATCAGTCATCAAGCACAGACCTGCTCAGCACAGTCTGCAGCTTGTGCAGAAAAGAACAAACCTATCATCCCTCGGGGCTCCTGACATGTTCTACTAAGGGCCACACATTCAGAATACCACTACTTTTCTCACTACAGCCATGGTTTTTGCTTAGAGAAAATAAGCTTCAGTAAAGCTTATTTTAATGGAGTAATGTAAAATTCCCAACTCTTTGGGTAGTCCTAGGCACAGGTTGGCCCCTGCCCCAAGAGAACCACTACTTTACAAGAACCCCCAGGCATGCACCACACCGAAGCCTGGGGGACCTGCAGAGCAGGAGGGGACCTCCAGTCTTCAGGACTCAGGTGGGGTCTGTATCCACCAACTGCAAGAAAACAGATTTGCAAATACAGTGCAAATTCAGAAAAATAGAAAATAAAGTATGGGAAAATACTTTCCTCATGTTTCTAGACCCACTCAGGAGCAGAGAAATCTGCTCACCTGGCATTGCAGGGCCTCCTCACAGCCTCCGCAGCTTCTCTGGGCTGCGGTCCTAACACCCCCACCAGGATGATCCCCAGATGTGGTCTGATGACTTCCTCTCCCCCTGGACCCCTGAGCACTCTGCACTATCTCGGCTCACCCAGACCAACTTCTTTCCCAGCCACCTCCTTTCATCCAAATGTTCAACCTGTGCAGTGATGAGTATTTGGGAGGGGCCCAGGTAGGGTTTCTCCAACCACCAATGTCCCACCTCACGTCATTCTCTCAACACCTGTCTCTGCCTCTGCAGTGGAGAACACCCCTTGTTTCCACTCCCAGGGGGCACAACTGCGTCAGTTCTCCAAGGAGGATCACAACAGCTGGGGCTAAGTCTGCACTGTAGACAAGATCAGCCAGCCTTCCAAAAGCCACTTTGAAAAAGCTACTCAATAGTCTTACCTATCTTCAATACTTTTTTATTGTTTTGTTTTTTAAGATAGGGACTCACTATGTAGTGAGGCTGGTCTTGAACTCACAGAGATCCTCCTGATTCAGCCTCCCAAGTGCTGGGATTACAGGTTTGTGCCACCATGCCCAGCCCTCTATTTTTGAGGCTTTCAACCTATTTCAGTACCCTTAGCTCTTTTTCCCTAAGACAGGACTAATTTTAGGATAGTTTTGTCATATGACGGAAAATCCTACTGCCACCTTGGCTGGAATAACTTGAGACCAGTAAGTTAACTTGGGAACAGCTACCACTTATCTATAACATTCACCTTCCTCATCCGACATCAGAGTTACTTTTTTGTATTCTTCTCTCACCTCTATCAAGCATGGGCTTACATAGGCTGAGGAGGGTCAGCGTGTGGGTCTCAGTCCTCACAAGGTTCCCCATTACTTACAAGTTAGGGCAACTTTCCTTCCCTTCCAAAAAGAGCATTGTATGAGTTTTGCATCTTATTTCAAATGTCTAAAGTCACCCAAGGTAACAGGAACCATTGGATGCTGTAGGCCATGGAGCTCATCTGGGAAAACCAGGCCCACTGGTGCCCTGCTCTACCCCTGTGTATGGGGCGAGGCCACAAGGGGGCATAGGCTCAAAGGGAGGCGTGCCTACCCTCACCCTGCCCTGGAAGAAGGCCGTAAGGCCTAGGGCCCAGACAGGACCTGAGTGTCCAATGCACAGGTAGGTCTGTCCCAGTCTCAAGGAATAGGGCTCCTCCAAACCTGGGCCAGAAGACTGAGAAAATTCAGAGTGGAACAGGAGCACTCAGCCAGAAACACAGGGCTCCATGCTTTCCAGGCCAGACCTAAAACGATGCCTGGAGACCGCTTTGGTCAGGACAAATAAATTCATTTCCCAATCAGCTAATGGCTACCCAAAGGATTTCAGAAAATAAGGCAGAATAAAAGAGAACAGCTGCAATTGAGGGATGAGCCTGAAACAGAAAGTCCCTATCCAATTCCAGGTTCTATCAGGATAGGCAAACTGATGCTCCCCATAACCTGGATCTGTCCTAAGATCTGACACCTGTGTTAATGCCCTCCTGTCCACTGTTCATGCAAATACACAAGGTGCAAACTGAGGGACAGCGCCAACACTGAGGGACACACTGCTCCAGAAGAGGCCAGAGGCCTCGAGGAGGCAAGGATGCAGCCCCATTGGGAAGGCTCAACCTCTCCCCGTCTCTTGACACCACCCTGCAAGCCCGTGCACAGAGACAAGGCCCACCAGACTCAGTGACAGCACTTGAGTAAACAGCAGGTACGCTTTGTGGCTCTGCTCTCACCCTGAGAGAACTTTACCTGGACCCCAGAACCAGTACCAGGGCCAGACCAGACATCAACCCAGTTAAGCCACAGCCCGCAGCACGGCCTTCTAGCCCAGACAGGCCCAATCAGCCAACTTCTGACCAGCCTGCAAGGGTAGGGATGGAGGTAAAAATGTCTGTTGCTGCAAGCCACGGGATTTGGGGACATCTGTCACACAGTCTTGCTGTGGCCACAGCTGACTGATACAGGCAGCACCCTTGGAGAACACCCACAAAGCACACAAAGCCTGCTTTCCCCCTGAGTTCAGAAAAACAGTGAAGTACTCACCAGACTCACCCTTTTTCTTGGAACCAGATTTCTTCTTTGCAGGAGCTTCCTGCTTGAGAGTCTCCTGGCTCTGAACTGGAACTGTACTCTTGCCCTGGACAGGAGCTGGCTCAGGCTTCTTAGCCTGACTGGCAGCTGCATCTGCCTTTTTGCCCTGGTTTGGCATTCCGTCCATCTTTTTACCCTGGTTCTGGGCACCCTCTCCTTTCTTGTTCAGGCTTGGGACTCCCTCTGTCTTCTTGCCCTGGTTCGGGGCAGCCTCCACTTTTTTGCCCTGGTTCTGGTCCCCCTCCCCCTTCTTCCCCTGATTCTGGTTCCCCTCCCCTTTCTTTCCCTGGTCTTGGTTTCCCTCCCCCTTCTTCCCCTCCCCTTTCTTGGCTTGGTTCTGGTTCCCCTCCCCCTTCTTGGCCTGGTTCTGTTTCCCCTCCCCCTTTTTTCCCTGGTTCTGAGCCCCTTCCCCCTTCTTGGCCTGGTTCTGGTTCCCCTCTCCTTTCTTTCCCTGGTTCTGGTTCCCCTCCACCTTCTGCCCCTGGTTCTGGTTCCCCTCTCCCTTCTTCGCCTGGTTTTGGTTCCCTTCTCCCTTCCTGGCCTGCTCCTGATTCACCTCTCCTTTCTTAGTCTGGTTCTGGTTTCCCTCTCCCTTTTTTCCCTGGTTCTGGTTCCCCTCCCCCTTCTTAGCCTGGTTCTGGTTCCCATCTCCCTTCTTAGCCTGGTTCTGGTTCCCCTCCCCCTTCTTGGCCTGGTTCTGGTTCCCCTCCCCCTTCTTAGTCTGGTTCTGGGACCCATCCCCCTTCTTGCCCTGATTTGGGGTGCCCTCTGCCTTCTTAGCCTGGTTCTGGTTCCCCTCCCCCTTCTTCACCTGGTTCTGATTCCCCTCCCCCTTCTTCCCCTGGTTCTGGTTCCCCTCCCCCTTCTTAGCCTGGTTCTGATTCCCCTCCCCCTTCTTAGCCTGGTTCTGGTTCCCCTCCCCCTTCTTTCCCTGGTTCTGGTTCCCTTCTTCCTTCTTAGCCTGGTTCTGGTTCTGGTTCCCCTCCCCCTTCTTAGCCTGGTTCTGGTTCCCTTCTCCCTTCTTAGCCTGGTTCTGGTTCCCCTCCCCCTTCTTAGCCTGGTTCTGGTTCCCCTCCCCCTTCTTAGCCTGGTTCTGGTTCCCCTCCCCCTTCTTAGCCTGGTTCTGGTTCCCTTCTCCCTTCTTAGCCTGGTTCTGGTTCCCCTCCCCCTTCTTAGCCTGGTTCTGGTTTCCCTCCCCCTTCTTAGCTTGGTTCTGGTTCACCTCCCCTTTGTTCCCCTGGTTCTGGTTCCCTTCTCCCTTCTTCCCCTGGTTCTGGTTCCCTTCCCCCTTCTTGGCCTGATTCTGGTTCCCCTCCCCCTTCTTGGTCTGGTTCTGGTTCCCCTCCCCCTTCTTCCCCTGGTTCTGGTTCCCCTCCCCCTTCTTCCCCTGGTTCTGGTTTCCCTCTCCCTTCTTGGTCTGGTTCTGGTTACCCTCCCCCTTCTTCCCCTGGTTCTGGTTCCCCTCCCCCTTCTTCCCCTGGTTCTGGTTCCCCTCCCCCTTCTTGGTCTGGTTCTGGTTTCCCTCTCCCTTCTTCCCCTGGTTCTGATTCCCCTCCCCCTTCTTCCCCTGGTTCTGGTTCCCCTCCCCCTTCTTTCCCTGGTTCTGGTTCACTTCCCCCTTCTTGGCCTGGTTCTGGTTCCCCTCCACCTTCTTAGCCTGGTTCTGGTTCCCCTCCCCCTTCTTGGCCTGATTCTGGTTTCCTTCCCCCTTTTTTCCCTGGTTCTGGGACCCATCTCCTTTCTTGCCCTGATTCGGGGTGCCCTGAGCCATGCTGATGGCTGGGGTGCTGGTCTTGGCACCCACTGGAGGTACGGCCACCATGGGCACCTCCTTAGGAGTGGCTTCCAAGATGGCTGACTTTGAGGCAAGAACCTGGATGGAATTCACCACAGAGCTGACAGCTGGTTCCACCTTGGCCACTTTTTTCTCCTTCTTCTTTTTGTCCTTAGGGGAGGAGGCTGGCTTCTCTTGGGGCATGGCTGGTACTGCAGCCACAGGGGTGAAGACCAGCGGGGCCTGGATCGGGGTTGGAGCCACCACCATGGCTGGAGTATGTTTCGGTTCTCTGAGGAGTACAGTGACGCTGGGGCCTAGCTCATGGTCAGGAATCTTCCCATTTGGTTTCTCATCCTTTTTCTTGGTCTTTCCTTTCTTTTCCACGTTTTTCTCCTTCTTTTTCTTCTCCACTTTCTGGTAGTAGGTTTTTGCCATCTCCTTGCGCTGGTTGGCGAGGGCCTCTTCATAAGATGTCTCCTTCATGGAGAAGGTGGACACCAGGAAGATGCCGATGGCAGACACCACCATGAAGCCGCCGAAGACCACAACACCCAAGGTCTGTGTGTCGTAGATATCCATCCTGGCTGGCTTGCGTTTCACCTGCCAAACACACAGGCACACAGATTATGAGAAACGGAGCCATCTGACAACTTCCATTCCACCTTCTCACCACCATTTCATTAATTGCTCCACATTAAACCCAGGCTTGGGGCACAGCCTTACCTACTCCCCCAAAAGGGAGCTGTTTTTACCCAAGATCTATACAGTTCCATGGGTGTTGGGTGCAGGCCTGTCACCAGTCTCTCCCGCACAAGTGGGAGGAATTATGGGGAAATGGGGCAGAAAGGCCCCACAGGTCCGGGAGCCCACTGAGAGCTTCTGATTCTTCCTACATCATCTCTCAGTGTGAAACCTGCTGTCATATAAGTCATTCCAAAGGTACATGCAGGTCTCCAGCTACAGGCGTGCCGGGGCCGCCCCATACACCCTCCTCTTCTGCCCCCTCCTGGCACACAGAGAAGCAGCTACCTGGGCTCAGAGGCCAGCACCTCCGAACCATGGCCCAGTGGGAGCTGGTGAATGAGAGCTGCCACAGCCAGCGCCCTGCGCACAGGGAACAGACAAGACCACCAGCCTGGGTGCACAGGAGGGAACTGTAAGCCCATCCCTCTGGGACCACAGTCCCCACAAAGGGGTAAACTCCATTGTCCTCCAGCCTGAGGACCAAAGCCCAAAGGCTTAGAGGCTGGCAGGCCCATACTGTCCTGGCTGGTGGCCAAGGCTAGGGTCACTTCACTGAGAATCTCAAAGAGGTGTCTCCTGAGGCAGGGCGCAGGTCCCCGGGGTGCAGGGCTCCAGACTGAAAATGGGCAACTCCATCTTCTAAACAGTGAGTAACCAAGAAACCCACACTGGGGCACCCGGGCACTTCAGTCTGCAGAAGCAGCAGGAGAAAACCTGATACCCTACTCCCACAGCAGGGCCAACACCAGACCTTGCTGTTTCTCTCCGATGAGGACCACAAGACAGTCCCACAGTAACACTCCAGGCAAGCAACTACTGCGACTCTCGCTCCCCTGATAAGCTGTTGCCCTGAGCAGCACAGAAGCCTACACGATGTGCCCTCCCTCTGCCAGTGAGGGCTGAGCTGGCTCCATGGGAGGAGCCCAGGGCTGGGCCAGGTCCTATGTCTCCAGGGGACTCTGACCACAGCCACAGGGAGTGATTGTGTCCTACAGTCAGGACTTGCATGAGACAGTCAGCGCAAATGGCCTGGCAGCCTCTTCTGGACACACTGCCATGCTGGGCTCGGGTGAGTCCCTTGGGGGCCCTGTGGTGCCAGCTCCTTGGTGGGCATCCACAACTGAAACTCCTTCAGATCTTCCCGAGGGTCTCAGAGTGCTGCCAGTGCAGACAGAAACATATCACAACCAAAACATACAGCTGATCTGGGTGGTGAAAGTCCTTCAAAACACAGCCTTCTATGGAGCAGACCAATGCTACCATAGGGGCCTTGGGTCACCCTGGCACAGCTCGGTGAGCCCCACATGGCTGCCCACTAACCACAGGTCCAAGCGTGCTGTCTCACAGAGTTGCAGCTGGCACCGGCCACCAGACCGGGAGTGGCCGTGGACAGAGCAGGTCTGTGTGCAGCCTGGGCTCTGCAGCTTCTCAACTCCAGCAGGAGAGCCGGGGCTGGGAGATGAGCCTTTCATCTCACGCCTCACAGGCAAACATCAGGCACCAAAACAGTCTCTGCAGGGAGCTCAGCATCCAGAAAAGCAAACTTGGGAGGGTATTTTTCCTCTGCAGCACACACAAATGGATGTTTTACAGCAGCACAAATGTGTCTTCCCAACTTTTGCAGAACAAACTACTTTAAAAAGAAATTACATCTCCACCACTAATTCCTGAGCTAGAATTTTTTAAAAGAATGCTTTCACAGAAAAATGAAAAGCCCGTCTCTGGGAACATACCGCAGCACTTGGGGCAAAGGCAGCATCACTGAGACAGAGAAGCCAAGGGAATGAAAGCACCTTTCTGCTCTTTGCCAGTGGGAAATCAATGCATCCTGGGGCCACCGAAAGCTGGGGCCACCGAAAGCTGGGGGCCTGGAACATTCTCTGAAGGTCAGCACCCTACACTTCACCCCCAAAGCCTGCACAGGGCCATGCTAGCAGAGAACCACTGCGCTAGACATATGCCTACGCGCTCTGCATGGCCTGCCCATGTCACCTCCACAGACGCCCAAGAAACGCGTGCCCTCATGGCTCCCTGGTGCGCATGCTCGATGCGAGGCCCATGAGGAAGGTGGCAGGGCCTCCCCAGGCTCAGCGACCACTCTGGGGCTCCAAGAAAACGGCTCTGCAGCTCTTAGGGCTGGGGACTGAAGGAAGCAGAGGCCCCAACTCCTCAGACACAGCCTGAGCAAGCTGGGCCCTCAACAGCACCTCTGAGGCTCGTTCCAGCAAGTCCTCGATGTTTCTTGGGGTCATATCTGATGCCCAGTCACAGTGAGGGGTGGCCTGAAAAGACCCTTCCAGATTCCTCTCCTCCAGAAGAGTACAGAACTGAAACAAGAGGACACAGACACACAGCCTCTCCTAGATCCGCTGTGTCACACTCTGTTTCAGGCAGAACCCAGGCATGTGTTGTCCTACACTGTGCCAAGCTACAGTATACCACAGATGGGAAACAGCAATCAGGTCAGTGCTTGCATTCAGGCCCTAGCAGCAAGATTTCTCATTACAAAGATGGAAACATTCCAAAATCCAAAAACACCCAAAATCTAAAACTCTCTTGGTCCAATCGTTCCAGGAAAGGGACACTCAGTCACTCTTATGACACAGATGTGCAAGTAAGAAAACTCTGAGTAACCATCTCCTCACCTTGCCACTGACTTCAGATGGCACACACGTGAGTCATGGACACACACAACCAAATGCTGTCTCCTTCAGCCTCCTGTCTCTTCTACACATTCACACTGTGATACAAACATCATTTCTACAAACAATACACAGCACCACTCTGCATGCTGGTGACTGCTATGCAAGAGACAAGATGGGTGTTACTCAGCCGTGATTTTTTTTTTTTACTACAGTTTCATTTGTTCTTGAGACAGACTTTCATCATGCTGCCCAGGCTGGTCTCAGCCTGGCTCCAGCAGTCCTCCCGCTCAGCCTCCTGAGTAATGGGGACCATGGGCCCACCTACATTTTTTGCGATTATGCAGATCCACATAACTTGGGCTCCTTTGTTTTAATTCCTGTATTATGTAACTAGACCACAAATTACTAGCCACGCTCCTGCATGTTTAGGTTTCTAAAATTTATGTCCTTCCCCCAAAACTGCAGTGTGATGCTTCTATCACAGCAACAAGTCATCCTCAGTCCTAGGGTCCTGGTCTAGGGCAACCACTGGTGAGAAGTCGAGCCTGTTGTGTGGGAGTCACTTCTGCCAAGAGCATCAGTCAGGCAAACGCTTGGGTACTGCACATCTATTTTGGTGAGTAACTTGGTGACAGGAAGCAGCGAGGGCACCCTCAGCTTAATCACCAGCCCACTCCCAGACTCCTCTTCTTCCCTGCACCAACAGGGCCTGGTGAGGATTACCTGAAAAATCAGCACCATGCCTCAGTTTCCCCCAGGTCTTCAGCTGGGAATTTTATCTCAATCGCACTGAATGGACAATGCAAGAACTCCTCCCTTGCACGGATTTAATGTGGCTTTTTTCACACTTTTGGAAACTTGTTATGATTTTCTCTAGAAAAGTCTTCCATCCTTTTTGTTAAGTAACTACTGCTTTTAAACATTTTAGAGAAAAGAGGTCTTTGCAAATTAGTTTTTCAATTTCCCAGATATAGACAACCAGCAAAGTCACACCTCCCTGTATGCAGGTCACTTGCTCTGCATTATGCTGAGCTCCTGTCAAAGCTGGGAGTTTGGAGATGTAGATTCTCCTTGATTTTCTTTATTAAAAACACACCTGGAGGGGGCAGTCTTGTTTCTTGGCTTCTACACCATACCTCCCAAGGCACCCCTGAGAACTGGGGCCACATCAGAATCACCAGGAAAGGGGACGGTGTCCTCACTGCTTTCCTAGGTTCCCCTTCCAGCCTTTCACCACACACTGCGCTGCTGATGGCGAGTTTCTCATGGAAACCTTTTCTTGGGTTAAGTAGTGATCTTATCTTCCTTCTCAGCCACTTTCTATATAAACACTAGGGCTCTGGATTTTAGGAAATGCTTCTGGTTTGACATTTCCCCTTTTTATCTGTGATGTGCTGAATTAGACTGAGGCAGCCCATCCCACACAATACCGACCACACACTGCTTTTTCTAACTGTGATAGTGTAATTTATAAAGCACAATAAAAAGACATTAGAAACAACAGTAAAATAGACCAATTACAATAACATACTTTTAGACCACACTGAATTATGGGTATCATGAAATCATGGATGAGGGAACTATTTAATACATCTTCTATTAACTCACAGGAGTATAAACAATCACAGTGGAACAATTTTCTTTTAAGCTATTATCTTTAGATCTGTGCTGTTCCCATTTTTATGTGGGATTTGTGTGTGTTCTGAAGTAGAAAAACGAGGTCATTTGGGCTGTCCCTGATCTTGGTACAAGAGTCATTTGCTTCTCACAGGACAAGCTCAGGACTCTCCCTGTGCCGCTTAGAAATGTGGTCTCGCCGAGTGTGGTGGCTCATGCCAGCACTTGGGAGTCTAGGGTAGATGGATTCTTGCAAGTTCAAGATCAGCCTGGGCTAAAAAGTGAACTCAAGGCCAGCCTGAACTGCATAGCAAGACCTTATCTCAAAAAGACAAAAAAAAAAAAAGAGAAGAAAAGAGAAAAGAGAAGACAAGGAAAGGAAAGGAAAGGAAAACGAAAGAAAAGAAAAGAGGTCTCTCTGCTTTGCAGTTTAGATGACTACAAGAGGCAGCAAAACTGTCAGGGTGGATGTCTGGAGATCTTTTCTTGGAGTAGGAAGAGTGAGGAGTACGGACTTTTAACTGCTGCTTCCATTTCAAGGATTCTAGAGGGCCAGGGATTTAGATTTAGCACAGTGGCATAAGCACCAACCAC